AAAAAATGGGCAGAAGACATGAACAGACACTTCTCCATAGAAATACAAATGGCTAACAGACACATGCAAAAATGTTCATCATCATTAGCCATCAGGGAGATTCATATCATAATTTCTTTAAAGAAACTCAAAGAAGTCAGTGCAGGAGTAATTACAGGAGTAATACAGAGTGGTACCATCTCTTTTCCCAAGAAGACAGTTATATTTATTCATTCACAAAAACAACTTTTTGAGATTGTATTTGAACCAAGTGCTTGCTTGCTTTTTATGATGGAGACTTCTAAAAGGTTAAAAAGCTTATCGCTGGGCAGTATTATTAGTAATTCCATTTCTATTTTTGCTTCATTCTCTTCTATTTTTCTAAGTGTGGCTATAATTAAATATTGTATATAATCTCATACATTGCTAACACAGGCATATAACTTAGGACACAGATTTGCAGCAGGCTGAAAGAGGGTTCTTTTGAATTCATCTGAATTTAAAGGTATAATCAGAAATGTTAGGGCACCTGGATGGCTTGGTTGGTTAAGCGACTGCCTTCGGCTCAGGTCATGATCCTGGAGTCCCTGGATCGAGCCCTGCATTGGGATCCCTGTTCAGCAAGGAGTCTGCTCCTTCCTCTGCCCCTCCCTCTCTCATTCTCTCTCTCTCTCTCTCTCATCCTCTCTCTTTCAGATAAATAAATAAAATCTAAAAAAAAAGAAATATTTGTAAGACTTTAAAGTGATAACATAAATTTAACTGATGTTTGGAATTACTGCCTTTCTTATCTCACTGCTCCATACTTTCTCATGTTATGTCAAAATGACTTGATTTGAAAGAATATTTTCCTTGTCAAAGAAGTGGCTTTTTTGGTCAGGTGTCAAAGAAGTAAGTTCTTTGTAAGAGGAATCAAAATTATTTTTCCTAGACTTTTCCTCCAAAGATCTTGCAGACTTCTTATAATCTTAAATTTTATGAAATGCTTTTAAATTCTATTTCTCAAAATATGTGAGATTCCATCTCTAAAAAGTCTGAAACCCCCCACTGCAAAAAATAATATATATATTTGAGCAGTCTTCACTAATAATAATTCCTCATATTTTGATGAACTTACTGGACCAATAGAAAGTCATTATATTCCAGTCTAGTGAATAAGTAGAGTTATCAGTCTGCAAAGAACGATTTTTGGCAAAATTATGAAATGGTAATAATTTTCTCAATTGCTCCATGGGCAAATTTTTTATTAGAGTAATAAATGTTACATTTTTTTTAAAGATTTTATTTATTTATTTGATAGAGAGAGATCATGTAGGCAGAGAGGTAGGCAGAGAGAGAGAGAGGGGTAAGCAGGCTCCCTGCTGAACAGAGAGCCTGATGCAGGGCTCGATCCCAGGACCCTGAGGTCATGACCTGGGCTGAAGGCAGAGGCTTAACCCACTGAGTCACCCAGTGCCCCAGAAATGTTACATTTTCAAATATTAAATGGTTTTTCACAAAGATCTTCAGAAATAAATAGATGCTCTCATCTTCATCAAAACATCTATTATAGGGACAGCTGGGTGGCTCAGTCAGTTAAACAACTGCCTTCAGCTCAGGTCATGATCCCAGAATCCTGGGATTGAGTTCCGCATCGGGCTCCTTGCTCAGGCGGGAGCCTGCTTCTCCCTTGCCTGCTCTGCCTGCTGCTCTCCTTGCTTGTGCTCATTCTCTCTCCCTGACAAATAATAAAAATAAAAAATCTTAAAAAACAAAACAAAAAAACAGTAAACTTACCATTGTTTAGTCAGCACTTGGGAATAAATCATAATAAAGGGTATATTGCTCCACTTTTTTCAGGAAGACAAAGAAAAAGTTGATTTTTTCCCTCAGCTTCCAAAACACAGTTGATGTAATGAGTTTATGTCTTTGAATCAGTCACCTCCTAAGTTCAAACTGTGCAGTTTTTCTCTAAATATTAATCGCTATTGCATATAATATACTAGTTATGCTACGCCAATATATACAAATAATTTAGGGAGATTATAAAATACATTAAAATGTGTTCTCCTGGATAGTGAAAAAAAGTTCTCCAGGACTTCCTACTTGGTGGCATTTTGTTTTCTCTCACAATTATTCAAGAACCTCCTTCTAACATTTTGCCACCTTCTCTTCCAGGCCCCACGGTCACCTAAATATTGTACTTATTCTTTCTATAAGCATTATAAATATACTTTTCTTTATAGATAACTTGTGTCCACCCTCTATCCCAGCCTCTTATATTTTTAGATTTAATATTCCCTGTCTGGACTATCCACAGGTGATAACGAAAGTGCACAGCATGTAATGCTTTGTATTTCTGCTGAAATCCACTGTGAATCATGTGCGTTGTTAACTGGTGTGGTGACATGAGCTTTTGCTCCACTGACAGTGTCTAGTAGAGTCCCAAGCAACTGGCTTCCATGCATGATTTTTGGTTCTTCTATAAACTAATCTTCTTAAATTAATTTTTAATTAATTAATTAATTATTTATTTATTCTTTTTTTTAGCAGGCTCCCTGCTGAGCAGAGAGCCCAATGCAGGGCTCCATCCCGGGACCCTGGTATCATGACCTGAGCCGAAGGGAGAGGCTTTAACCCACTGAGCCATCCAGGCACTCCTAAATTTATTTATTTATTTATTTTATTTTTTTAATTTTTTTTTTTAAAGATTTTATTTATTTATTTGACAGAGAGAAATCACAAGTAGGCAGAGAGGCAGGCAGAGAGAGAGGAGGAAGCAGGCTCCCTGCTGAGCAGAAAGCCTGATGTGGGGCTTGAACCCAGGACCTGGGATCATGACCTGAGCCGAAGGCAGTGGCTCAACCCACTGAGCCACCCAGGCGCCCCCTAAATTTATTTTTTTAAAGAAGGAAGAGAACTTTGATTCTTTCTTAATACGGCCATAAAATGAGAAGTAAAGTTTAACTACCATAAACTGCAGGTACTTTTGAAATCATTTACATTAATTATTAATAATGATATTATCATTATCATATCATTATCATATTATTATCATATTATTATCATTATCCTAATGTAAATGATATTAATAATTTATAATAAACCATTAAATTTGTTTCCTACTTTAGTTCTCTAGAATGTACTATTTAGCTTGGGAGCTCAGTCCTTATAAGAATAGGATATTTGGGATTTTTTTAGGGTTCATTTCTTTATCTTCAGATGAAAATGCTCTCCTTGTGGCCATCTAATAAGTGAACCACACCTGTGTACTTAGGTGGTCCCTGAGAGGATCCTTGAAAAAGCCTTTATTGTGATTCTGACCAAGTAGCACCTATCTCAGCTGCTTTCTCATCTTTGTTGACATGATCCATGTTCCTTTTCCTTTTCCTGAAAAATTATTTCTTAGTAAATTTCTTTTGATAACTAATTTCATCGTGAAATTAACTATATCCTGAAACTGATTCTGAGTATATGTTTTTTTTTTTTTAAGATTTTATTTATTTATTTGACAGAGAGAGATCACAAGTAGGCAGAGAGGCAGGCAGAGAGAGAGGGGGAAGCAGGCTCCCTGCTGAGCAGAGATTCCCAATGCGGGGCTCCATCCCAGGACCCTGAGACCATGACCTGAGCCGAAGGCAGAGGCTTTAACCCACTGAGCCACCCAGGCACCCCCTGAGTATATGGTTTTAAGCTGGATTCAATGGTCCTGATGAAAAAGCCTGAAACAAAAAGGGATGAGGAACATAAAGTTATTGCTTCTAGAGAACACTTTTTTTCCCTTTTACCTCCACTTGGTGTAAAAAAATTTATCTCAGGCAGAAAATTTTGCTGATTAGAAAAGAAAGGGTTCTACCTGGGGACTTCCATGGAGTGTGCCCCACTTTCTTTCCTCCACAGGTGAACAAATCTAGTGTCTGTGAAAAAGCAACAATAGCGATAGTGGAGATACATAGTAATAACGTTGTTCATGAGTTTTATGATGTTAGAAAGCTCATGTTGGCAGAATTGTTCCTATGGATATAAAACATTGTGAGCTGTTAGTCATACTTAAATTTTCCCACAAATTAGCATAAGGTTTTGATACTAGTGGTAAACATAATTAACACTAGAGAACCATTTAAATAAAGTTGCTATAACTGCCATTATTTATCTGCAAAGCTGGAGGCTGCGATATTAAAACACGTACTATATCTACTTTTAAAAGAATTGTGAATAATAATCAAAAACACTCCATAAATAAGAAATGCATAGAAATACAGCAAAGGAAATAAATTTTAACTGCAAAAAGTTATTGTAGATACGCACGTATTATTTTTGTTACAAAGTGATATTTTGAGCAGAAAAAGTCAATGCATATAATTGAAACTCTGTAATTCAAGGGTTGAATTAAATATAGTATTTCTTACACACACACAAAATGTACCCCATTATGTTTCCTATCTTGTGCCCTGTATTTCAAGTACAATTTTAATTGTCTTGATTGAATTACAGAAATTAAATACCTGTGCATACTCTTGAGACACATTTGTAATATTATTTACATGTACAAAAACACAAATTTGGACAAGCTTGTAAAATAAGGGTTTTAAAATATTTTTGGCAGTGGCACTTTTTTCAAATAAAATCTTGCTTTTAAAATCAACATACTAAAATGAAAATAACAGATCTATCGAAATACTGCCTGTTCCACTTTTCCTCTGATCTTCCTCCTCATGGTGAGGATCTCCCAGAACTTTCAGATCTGGAACTCAGTTTGAAAGCCCCTTTCTGGCACCTGGGTGGCTCAGTGGGTAAAAGCCTCTGCCTTCGGCTCAGGTCATGATCTCGGGGTCCTGGGATCGAGCCCTGCGTCGGGTTCTCTGCTCAGCGGGGAGCCTGCTTCCCCCTATCTCTACCAGTCTCTCTGCCTACTTGTGATTTCTGTCTGTCAAATAAACAAATAAAATCTTTTGAATAATAAAAAAAAAAGATGAAAGCCCCTTTCCAGGTACATCTTTTTTTTTTTTTTTTTTTTTTTTTTTTCGTGATGACAGTGATACTTATTATTCTGGGAATAACCAATGCACGGAGTCCTCATTCTCCGTGATTCCAGGGCACCTGAAGGCCCACTGATCACTGCGCCCTGACCAACGACATCGCTTTAGAACGCAGCAGTCAAGGGCTCCCTCACGCTCACATGTTCTTCCGAAGCATAGAGGACTTCCATTAGTCGCTGCACGAGGTCATCGTTTTCCTGCCCGTGTTCTTGGCAGAGCAGCTCAATCTCTCTCAACTTTCCAAAGTAGAAATCTCTCTCCTTTTCCACACCTTCGAGGGCAAGTTTTAATGAATGTACCTGTTCATTAAGCTGTATGACCTGTGTTTCTAAATCTTTATCAGATTTGGATGCTGAGCTGCTGGACGAAGCCCTTTTGGCTGATGAGGGACGAGAAGGTGTGGATCCTGGCTTAGACGCTGGACTGGATTTAGCCGCACCTGCAGTGGGGGAGTTTGCGTGGTGAGACTTTTTGGGCAGGTTGAAGATCTGTTCACCAGGGTCAGGGGGAGGGATTGCGTCTTGTCCTTGCCGTGCTTCTACAGGATCATACTCCTTCCCATCGTAGTTAGCATCATAGAACTTCTTAAACCACTGAATGAAATCCAGGTTGTCCTGGAAACGCCCTTTCACCAGCTTCTCCACTGGGATCACCTTATCAACATTCATTCGCTTAAACGATGCTTGCAGAAGTTTAAAATTGTGAATATACTCATGCTCCAACTTTGCTTGAAATTTTACTTTCTTCAAACTAATGCAGCCCGGAAAGAGCATGTCCATAAACTGGCAATAGGCAGCTCCTGAACAAAGCTGTTCCACTTTTGTGTAGTTTAAAGATACTATGTCATTAACCCATGCGATGATGTCATGTCTGCTCATAGTCTCTTGGGTTATCGAGGTAGAATACACATTGACTGCCATTCCCCAACTGTAGGAACGCTCCCCGCGCACTGTGTGCTTCCGGAAAGGAATGATGGTCCCGTTATCCTGGATGATGTCGTTGTTGTTCTCGCCATTTGGGGACAGGGTTTGGGTCGGACCAGGCATTGGCGCACTCCCGAGGAAGGGAACAAACCGCGGAGGGCTGGCTGGTGAGGAAGGTGGCTGCGTCTCGTCTTCCCGCTCGCCTGCTCCTCGCGCAGACCGTGCCTGCCTGCCGCCTGCTCGCTGGCTCCCTTCTCCCAGGTACATCTTTGAAAACAAAACTGATCACAACTACAAAGTCCCAACAGTTGACTTGTTCACACCGAGCTTTGCCCAGGGTCTGTTAGTTAGTAAATATTTACTGAACCTTGGGCCCTTTAGTAGAATTCAAAAAGCAGGAAAGAAGAGATGGCAAGTGAGTAACGGCATTAACTCCAATGGAGCTGGGCACAATGTTAGGCCCTAGTCCAAATGAGATAAAAATACCAAACAGAAATAAGGATAGAGAAAAAAAAGATTGAGGAAGAGGACAAAAACAAAACACAACAGAGGTTCTTGAGTGCCATGTAGAACATTTTAGTGTAGTGGAAAATATGGAAATGTTGGGAGCATGGAATATGATGGATGCTAAATTTTTAATGTAGTATGCATTTATGTATGCTAATGGAAGAGAAGCACTACACTTCAACCAGTCAACTAAATGCCATTAAATGTCATTTATCTTGATTGGCTTTTGGATTGCCATGGGATTCTCTAACTCAGTGCATTTTAGGTACTTGGCTGTTCCACCTGTGCCCTTCTAAATCCACCCTGAAATGAGGAAGTAAGTCCAGTGGGATATTGTGTGATATGCTGGTGGGTTTCACTCATTATGAATGATCTTCTACTCTATGGTGCATCTTTACTCCACTTCTGCTATGGAAGCTTATTGACATTGCTGGTTTAATTTCTTTCTTTTTTTTTTTATATTTGATTTTGCTACTGAGTGATTCTATGACCAATGTGATTTACATTTTTGATGATTAGACTCTTGGGAACTCTTCATACTTCAGCATTGAAGGAAGGAATGTTTGAACCTTTTTAATAGTGACTATTATACATAGCTGACAAACCAAGCAGAAAGTGTACTTTATTGCTACACATCTCAGTTGCTATCATGGACATATTATTTAAGGAACTAGGGACGCATTCCAGCTTGTATGGTGTCACAGCTCACTTGTGGGGTGGTCCTTGGTGGGAGAGGGGAAAAAGCCTATAGTCTGTAGCTAACCCTGTGACATGAAGCTTGAGCAAGGAATGTGACAGGGAGGAAGTCAGAAGCCCAATGTTTGCTTGTTTTTGTTATCTTGATCCCAATATTTTTTAAGTAGATTTTTTTTAATTGCAAAAAATGCTAGCATCTTTCCTCCAAATATCATTGATGACTTTTTAAAGGCCTCTGCACTCATGGTTCATCTCCCTCTCTGATATCCCCCACTTCAGTTTTCCCTTCCTTCCCCTAGTGTCCTCTGTTAGGCTGGTGATGGATATTAAGTAGGGCAGCTATTGTAATGAGCAGTGGGTGTTATACGCAAATGGAATACTACATCAAAAACTAATGATATACTATATGATGACTAACATAATAAATAAAAAGAATAAAGGCCTCTGCACATGAGGTAATTTTATATTAATCATTGCTTAAGGAATTTTTGGCAGAATTGCTGCCCAAGTTTTGACTCCTTTACAATTACAAGACTTAACTTATTTGTACATCTAGTTATTTCTTAGAATTTTGCATTGGATTCTGCTACTTCTAAATGATCTCCTAGTTGACCATAGTGTAACATAATTTTCTTCACGTTCAAATACATTTTTGGAATTCTTTTTTTTTTTTTTTAAGATTTTTTTTATTTATTTATTTGTCAGAGAGAGAGAGGGAGAGAGAGCAAGCACAGGCAGACAGAATGGCAGGCAGAGGCAGAGGGAGAAGCAGGCTCCCTGATGAGCAAGGAGCCCGATATGGGACTCGATCCCAGGACGCTGGGATCATGACCTGAGCCGAAGGCAGCTGCTCAACCAACTGAGCCACCCAGGCGTCCCCATTTTTGGAATTCTTAAAGACCGTGCCATACTTGTTACAATTTCAGATGAGTTCATGACGTCCTGAAATCTTCTCATTAATTTGTTTAATTGACTGTGCTTATGCTTCCAATGAACAGGATATAACCATGGCAGTAAGCATAGTTAAAAATATAATTTAAATTCTGTAACATCTTAAAGAGGAGAACAAATAAATGATAATAAAAATATCAAAAAGACATTTTGAGATTTTTTTTTACTGGAGAACTATATGAAAGTTAAAAATTATATATATATAATATATATATTATATATATATATGTATTTGGGTTCCATTAAATACTTTAGAAATATATAAATAAATATATAAATAAATACTTTAGAAATAGATAAATATATATATACAAATACTTTAGAAATATATATATATTTCTAAAGTATTTAATGGAACCCAAATTAGCTAGGAACTTCAATAATTTTATAGGTCACTTTTAATGGTTTAGTAGAAGACCACAAGGCAAATTAAAATTTATTAGAAGTTCTGAGGAGATACATAGCACACTTGGAGTGGGCACATGGGAAGGCAAGGTGCAGGTAGAAAAGTGTAGGAGGACCTGGAACACATGGTTTTGTTAGGGTCCATTGTGGAGGCCTTTGCAATTCCCAGCTAAAGCTGGATTGGTCAATTTAAATCAATAAAGAATGGGGTTCTGGAGTTCCACAGGGTTCCACAGGGGTCTTACATAAGGGACACACAAGGGGAAGGCCCTAAGAGGCCTGGGAGATTGTTGCTCACAAGGAGTGTTGGAGAAGTCATATCAGGAGCTTACATTTGTTGTGAGTCTCTGGGTTGCTCTCTAGGACATGCAATTATGGGATGGCTGGGGTCATTTCAAGTCCTCAGCAGTCAGCTTGGCCACATGAATGGATGCTAAGGCAGCAAAACTGTGGAGGGTTTTAGCTAAACTCTGGACTCACACATTCACCCAGGTCATTACAAGTGAAAGTGGGGAAACTTGAGTAACGTTGGCAAAATGTATAAATGTCAATACATTGGTTGGGGTATTATACAGTAGTACAGCATATTTCAGTGGTGGTAACAGGGTAAAGTATACGTAAGATCTCTTTGTATATTTCTTGTAGCTTTGTGTGAATCTATCTCAATCAAATTTTAATTAAAATGTTTAAAAAGATACATATTCATTATACAATATTTAGAGAAGACTAATAAACCCAAAGAGGGATAGTCAGTATTTTCCTCATCTCCTTCATATAGTCAGTATTTTACTGTATAATCAGTATTTTCCTCATCTTCTTCAAGGCACTTTCCAGAGAGTGAAATAGTATGATTCAGTTTCCATCAGCAGTTTGTCCCAAATAAGGTCATCATGCTGGAGTCTGATCAAGCAGTATTAACTGAGTAAGAGGAACTGTGGACTATTAACACATATTTTGCAGTTATTATAACTTCTTTATGACTGTGGGAAATAACTTCCCTATCCAGTAAACATTGTGGCGGAAGCTGTTAACACTTTGGAGTTGGAATGGACCTCTTGTATTACGTAGTCCCACCTCTGTATTCTCATACGGGGAGACAGGTTTGCAGAAGTTCAGTGACTTACCAAGGGCGCACAGCTGCTGAGTGGTGGAGGTGGGATCACCCGTGCTGTGCTCATACTATGACAGTCTACAACCGATGGTGACACCTACTAGCATTTAAAAGCATTGTCTATACTTAATGACTATACAGTTCTTGTATTTGAAAATTGCAGTCTTAGATGATGGAGGCTTGAACTGGAGGTCTAGATTAAACTTCATGTGGAAACAAATTGAATGCTTCTAGAAACATTTGTTCTATTGAGATCTTCAAATTTATAGGGAGTACAACGAATGCTGAATTTTGACATTAATGTCTCAGAATGAAATAGCAAGTTATTCTTTCTTAATATTGTACTCACCTGAAGTGATGAAAGTTTAGATGAACACTTGTGACTTAATTCATGATTCTTCTAAGAAGTTTGTCTCCATTCATGTATTTTTCTTTTCACACAGTCCCTCATTTGAGCACTCACCTTCCTGGTTTTGTTCACTTGGAATCTTAGAATGCTTCTCAGAATTCAGTAAGTGTTCGTGAAGCATTACGATGACTTAAAAATTGTGTGTCAGTTTGCAATTAACATTAGTCAAATATATCTTAGTATGAGAAACTTCAGCATAAGAAGATCACATAATGTAAGGACTAAGTAAAAGGGGACATTCACATCACAGCACATATGTTCCTGCATTGACGTACGGGCTCACATTGCAATAAAACGTCTTATTCGAAAGTATTAACAGGATTCCTGGAAAAAGGAATTGTGAATATTTTAAAATTATTAAAATAGCAAACATTTAGGAAAAAATCAGTGAAAAACATAGAAGATAGGAGACCATTCATTTTGTTTATTTTTCTCACTATATACAAAATCCAAGGTTTGAATCAGGAGAGAAACCTAGTATAATGTGAGATTTGGAATGCCTGGCCCCAGATGTGTCTATTTCTCTCCATCTCCATTGCCAATTTTACTTTCACCTTTCCTAGTACAGTGACTCCTCAGGTACCTTCTTTTTCCAAGATTATCCCACTTGCCACCTCTATTTATTTATTTATTAAAGATTTTATTTATTTATTTGTTAGAGATCACAAGTAGGCAGAGCAGCAGGCAGAGAGCGGAGGGGAAGCAGTCTCCCCACTGAGCAGGGAGCCTGATGCAGGGCTAGATCCCAGGACCCTGGGATCATGACCTGAGCCAAAGGCAGAGGCTTTAACCCACTGAGCCACCCAGGTGCCCCTTGCGACCTCTTTTAATCCACTGTTTAATGCCTCTGGGCATCTGGACTCACTTAAAAAAGACAAGAAAAGAGAGAAGGAAAGCAGGGATAGAGGAACTGGAGGAGTTGGATGTGTTTTACCTTCATTGTGATGGTGACATCATGGGTGCTTGCATATGTCCAAACTCACCGGATGCACACAATAAGTATGTGCAGTTCTTTGTAAGAATCAAACAAAAATCTATCCCTGTATTCTCATTAACCTGACCCTAAAATCTGGAATTTACCTGCTCACAAGTTTGTACATTTTTTGTTTTTGTTTTTGTTTTTTTAAAGATCTTATTTATTTGAGAGAGAGAGAGAGCACAAG